AATTTAGATGCAAGGTTTGTACATCATTAATGTATTTATGATAATTCTTACCTGTTAAGAAGTGGTTTGAAAATGAATTTAAAAGCAACTTATTTATAGAATATTTCCAGACTCTTTCAGTTGAAGGAGTCTCGGATTTCTTAAGAAGCCTCAAAGATTACAGATTACACTGTATGTTTACTTCCTTATAGCAAGATAGACAGTATATGCTGAACAAAACCTTACTGTAATTTTTTTTTAAGAGACAGAGTCTCACTTTGTCACTGTCAGTAGAGTACCGTGGCATCACAGCTCACAGCAACCTTCAGCTCTTGGGCTTAGGTGTCAGCCTCCCGAGTAGCTAGGACTACAGGTGTGAGCCACCATGCCCAGATATTTCTGTCAAAATAACAAATTAATGCTCCAAATATATATAATCATATATAAAATATTTTGTTCCTTGTTTTTTTTTATTGTTTTGGATTCATTGAGGGTACAAAGTGTTAGTTTACACTGATTGCATTTGTTAAAGTCCCTCTTATACTTGTGTCCTGCCCCCAAGAAGTGTGCCATACACCATGACTCCCATCCCCCTCCCTTTTCCCCTCTCCCTGCCACCTCGTTACCCTACCCCACTCCTTGCATTTGCACATCTACTTCCTTCATATTAGCATTGAGTACATTGGATTCTTGCTTTTCCATTCTCGTGATGCTTTACTAAAAAAGAATACATTCCACCTCCATTCAGGTTAATACAAAAGATGTAAAGTCTCCATCTTTTTTAGTGGCTGAATAGTATTCCATGGTATACATATACCATAACTTCTTGATTCATTCCTGGGTTGGTGGGCATTTAGGCTGTTTCCACAATTTGATTATTGTAAATTGAGCTGTGATAAACAGTCTAGTGCAAATGTCCTTAGAATAAAAGGATTTTTTTTCCTTCTGGGTAGATGCCTCGTAATAGAATTGCAGGATCAAATGGGAGGTCTAATTTGAGTTCTTTGAAGATTCTCCATATTTCCTTCCAAAAAGATTGTATTAGTTTGTAGTCCCACCAACAGTGTAAAAGTGTTCCCTTCTCTCCACATCCACACCAGCATCTGCAGTTTTGAGACTTTGTGATGTGGGCCATTATCTTTGGGGTTAGGTGATATGTCAGGGTGGTTTTGATTTGCATTTCTCTGATGATCAGGGATGATGAGCATTTTTTCAAATGTTTGTTAGCCATTCTTCTGTCTTCTTTAGAGAAGGCTCTATTCACATCTCTTGCCCAGCGATATATGGGGATTCTTGGATCTTTCTTTGTTGATTAATTTGAGTTCTCTATAGATCTCTATAGTTATAAAGCTTTTATCCAATTCATAATATGCAAATATCTTTTCCCATTTGAAGTTTGTCTGTTTGCTTTGGCTTTTGGTTTCCTTAGCTGTACAGAAGCTTTTCAGTTGAACTAAGTCCCATTTGTTTATTTTTTGTTGTAATTGCCATGGAAGTCTTCTTCATAAAATCTTTCCCCAGGCCAATATCTTCAAGTGTTTTCCCCACACTTTCTTCAAGGATTTTTATTGTTTCATGCCTTAGGTTGAAATCTCTTATCCATCCCCTTCAATTTTTATAAGTGGTGAGAGGGGCAGGTATAGTTTCAGTCTTTTACATGTGGTTATCCAGTTCTCCCAGTACCATTTATTGAATAGAGATGCTTTTCCCCAGTGTATGTTCATGTTTGGTTTATCAAACATCAGGTGGCTATAAGATGTTAGTTTCATCTCATAGTTTTCTATTCTGTTCCAAATGTCATTGTCTCTATTTTTGTACCAATACCATGTGGTAGCCTTGTATAGTCTAAATTTGCAGGCATCCTCAAACTACGGCCCA